CTATCAATTAATTTAATTTTCTTCAAAAAATTATTAGTGAAGTGCGTCGAGACTTCATTTCCTCAAATTTCTACGAACGGACTTAGTGACTATAATAGTAAAACATTATGTTTGCTTGTAAATTTTCCCGTCTATTTTTGTTACTATTTTTTTGTAAATACTCTCTTTATATATATATTATATATACACATAGAGATATAATGAAAATGTAACAATTATAATAAATGTAAGGGAAAAATAAATTATTTACTAATAATAACTAATAATTAAATGTATGTAAATAACTCATAATAAGAATTTGTTATTCCTTTTTTAGACATTGAAAATAGAATAATACATTATAAGAGAAAAAATGTGGCAAATTTGGCGAAAAAAAAAAGAATAACATTATTAAAATTGAACATTTAATATTTTTGTTAACACTCAACACATAATTTTGTAAGTCAACTAATAATTAAATTTGGCAAAATTGAGTAATTTTTTTAAACAAATTTAATACAAAAGTTGGATAAAACTGTTTGAAACAAGCCTTTAGCGGGCTAGACTAGACAATTCACGTACAAACCTCATACCTATACAAGTCAATAACAAAGTTGTAAAATACTAATGAACATAACTTAAAGTAGTTTGTTATTAGAAAAATACTAAACTAAAAAGCCCAAACATAATAACCATGTGTAGTGATTATTCATGCGACATTTTAAAGCCCCATTTTATTTTAAGGACAAACATAATAATCATAAGAATAATCACTTGAGGAAATTGCACCCCGTACCCACCAATCTAAAATATATTATAATTATACATCCGTTACATAAATATTTATACAATTACCTAACTAAGCCTAAAATATTGCTAATATACCAAGAGTAACAGTTTAAACTTTATTAGATAATTAAGGGAAAGTTACACAATTTATGGACATCTTTAATACACAATATCTCTTCTGCAACAAAAAAGATCCTCATGATGAAGAAAACGCGCATCCAAATCTGTTTTCTAACCAAACCCATAATCTGTACAGCAGCTCCATGAAGCAAGACAAGTTCTTCTTGTCCTCAGCCAATATCCGCTCATCTTTGAATAGTAGCAGTGGCAATGATAAGGGCTTTAGATACAATCCTTTCTTTGAAGTGCAAGATTATTAATTAAACACAAACAATCGCCTTCATCTACCGAGTACGTCCCCTTCAACGTCGTCCTCCACCGAGTCCTACTCCCTCGACAAGATCGTCCGAGCCAGTCCCGCGGTAGTCATCTACATGTAGACGATGCGAGAATCGGTTTATATGGAGTCGACGAGAGAGAAGATGAATATATTCCGAAGCATGATTTCTTCAATTGCCGCCAACGACGGCGTACTCTAAAGAGGGTTTCGGCGTCGCCACAATCGGGGGTGATGATTAGTTGGTTGCAGGGAATTTGAATTTTGCTTTGATTTTTTTAGGGTTTTGGATTGTGTGTAGATTAGTCATTTCATTGAAATTCGTAGACATTTGATTGGAGTATATGTACAGTATATGTTTGGTATTAGCGATACCTTTTTTTTTTTTTTATGTTACGTCTGGTATATACGATACCTTTTTGTTGTCGTTTTTTTATTATCCAATGGTTTATTTTTGCTATATGTTTGGTATATGCGATACTTTTTTGTTGTAGTTTTTTTATGTTACGTCTGGTAGATTTGTTTTAGTCATTTCTATCTTAAACCAAACAATATATTGTTGAACATAAAGATAAAATATACTGAACATAAACAAAAAATATACTTATACTGCACATATAAAAATAAGTTGTTGAACATAATCCAAATATATTAAAACTACGCAATTTATTTCTATGAACAAATACCAAAATATACTGCACATATACATTCTATGTGACGTGAAATATACTCCAAAATCGTGAGTGATTAGTGAAATATATATATATATATATATATATACTGAACATATACTAAACAATATATTGTTGAACATAAACCCCAAATAAACTGAACATAAAGATAAAATATACTGAACATAAACAAAAAATATACTTGTACTGCACACATAAAACTAAACTGCTGAACATAAACCAAAAATATTAGAAACTACATGATTTATTTCTATGAACAAATACCAAACATATATTGTA